TCACAAGTGGTCGCTCCCTTATCAAAAGGAACTCTTATTTGAGACACTACCGTTTAAAGATATAGCAAACGGCTCGAGTACCTTTGTGGTACGGCACAGCACCACTATCAAGGATAGACATAGATTAAGTTGTTACAATCATGATCAGTGAACATATCTAGTTGACCAGGACTACAACTAAGATCTATAAAATGGGCCCACGGTGTCGCTTCTTTCGAGATGTTGATTTTATAAATGTTATGCACTCAAAACACTGACATGTCTTCCATCGATCACATGCTCGACAAGGGTCAACACTCCAAGCAAGGACGGCGACGCCATCATAATCATGATAGTATAGATGATCCAAATCATCGCTGTCACCACCATCATCATCATGTTCATCGCAGACCAATAGATGACAACGCCATGAGACTGTACGAAGAGCCAGAGTGGTGGAGTCACTTGATCAATCCATCGGCTCTAGGGACGTTAATTAGTGAGGCTCATCTCCGTCTAACTACTTCGGTTATATTCGCTTACAAGATATGCATCAGCAAAGGCGATTGAAGTGAGCGGTCATAGAGAAAAGAGGGGTTCCGAGATTCGTAATGAAAGCCACCATGCGCTGCTTATGGGTGTCCGTACGGGGGCGGAAGTAGCATCCCGTATCAAAAATGATAGAGGACCTTGGGCTGGTGAGAAGTCAATCAAGGTTGTCAGTGCGGCCATAGCATCGGCAACTATTGACTTATTACTGGGCACTGATTCCAAAAGCCATCCACTGAGGTATGCAGTGGCTTCAATGGTTGAGAAGATTATTATAGATAGAATAATAAATGGTAAACTAAAGCTTTGAAACGTATATATTTCGATACCTTTCTGCCCTGACCGTGAAAGTCTTTTAGGTTTGGGAGCTAGACCACAGGGGATGTAATCATATCATTCATTTGCCAAATGGGATGGGGCCATTGACGTCACTATAATACGATTATGGTTGCAAAGACAGGAACTCCTAATCTCTTCAGACCCGGAGACCCTGTAATGCATGTGGTGAACACCATCTTCCGATGCAACTAATTAATCTAGTTATTGTGCTAAGCTGTTGCTGACGCGGCGACAATACACATGTCATTCAGCTCGACAAACCTTATGGGGTCCAAAGAGACCCTGACCTCGATCCCCACAAGGTTCTATTCCTTGACATGCATCCCGCTCAACGATTACTTGTCAGCGTGGCCTAGTGCATGACATCTAGCTGGATTGCACCAATTGAGGAACTAAAGGATGAGAAACAGAAAGTCCAGACCCAATCTTATCAGGTTTAATCTGCAACAAATGGACCGGTCTCGAATTGCCAAGGTATATCGCTATTCATTGTGCTAAATAGAGGACACATGCTGAAGTATAGAGTCAAGAAGTACAGAGCCAAACATTCTAACATTAGATAGCACCATAGAGGCAAATGGAGAACATACCATATGCAGGTCCCAATTGTTACGGAAAAAAGCTGCAACAACTCGCTACAGTACCTTGCTGAGCCTTCATGTATTAACCGGCCATTAAGTTCAATAATACAAACAGCAATAGCTTCATATTTGTTTTGTCAACCATATCACCATCATTTGCATCGCCCTTCATGCCCGTTACTCTTGGGAATCGGGTAACCTGCTCCATTCACCTCGATGAACCCAGTCTTTTCCTCTCAGGATTTGAATCCTTGTGCCAGGACTGTTATCAGGAGCGGAACGACACTGCATTATTACGAGGAACACTCCAGCTGCAAGTCACAAGAAACACGAGGATCAAGTCAGTGCAGCTTAGGCTGGTGGGACGCACTCACTTGGCCTGGCAACAGGAAACGCAACCAAACTTCCACGAGGAATGTAACCTGCCAACACAAGTGTCAACATTCTTCAGCGCCTTGAACAACCTTGAAAAGAATGATTTTGGGTTCCAGTGCAGATACCAGTTGCAGGGCGCATCAGGCTCCGACAGCAACCTTATGAATAAAGGAAATACATTGGCACCGTTGGATCTAAATCTTCAAAGCATCATTGGTGCCAAAAAGAGACGACGTTTGGCTCTTGACAACGCTCAAGCCCAATGTTACAACCATGGCAATACGATTCGACCCGCAACTGAAGTACAAGACTACAAGACTTTCTACCCGGGTACATACGATTATCCCTTTGCGTTCTCAATCGCACAAGACGAACTGGAGACGATCAAGGTACCATATGGCTCTGTGAAGTGGGAGCTACGTGCGACTATCGCTCGCGCTGGTATGTTCAACACCAATCTTCGTGGCAGAAAAGAGGTTACATTGGTGAGAATTCCAGATCCATTATCTCTGGAGACGATGCAGCCGATCCTGTTCAGCCGGCAATGGGAGGAATTTTTATACTACGATATAATCATAGGGGGAAGAAGCTTCCCTATCGGCAGCATGATCCCTATCTTCCTTAGGCTGGGGCCTCTGGACAAGGTCCAAGTGCATGGGTTCGAGGTCTTGGTAACCGAATCTATTGAATACTCGTCGAATAACAAGAAGGTTATCAAGAGGACTCCCAGTCGTACCGTCCTTCTCCTCAAGAAGACAGCTGAGAAAGCTATTTTCCCTTCATGGGCGACTTCGGGCCTCGTAACCGTCCGTGATGGCGAATTCACCCCGGAGCCGAGAAACGAGACTTGCGAAATGGCTACCGAACAAAGGAGTGCAGAGGCATCGGGGGAGCGGACATTGGCCGATACTGTGACAGAGAGACGAGACAGCCTTTTGTTCAACTCGGATCTGGATTTGCCGACTTTCTGGGGTACAACTGAGATCGAAGCAGCTGTACAGATCCCCACGTGTGGTATGATGTTGAGGAGGGGGGAGCTAAGGCTGCACCCCAAGTGTATCTGGAAGAATGTCATTGCAAAGCATTGCCTCAAGGTAAATTCCTCAGCATTCTCCCGCCCCGCCTTATTCACGCTGATGTTGACGAACAGGTCATACTGCATATCAGCCGTCTTGATGCCAATAACCCGACTGAGAAAAAGCGCATCTATCAAGATACCATCACATACTTGCCGCTTTCTCTTCTTAACTGTCGAGCCAACCAGGCTAACATGAGCCTTCCCTCCTACTCTGATGAGACATTTCCGTCTCTGAGCTATTACAAAAGCTGTGGGTGCCCTGATGCTTTGACCATACCGATCGAAAAGCCACCCCGCCATTCCATTGGAGGGCTGGCTGCGTGCCACCTTGTTGCTGACGGGTATAACTCCCACTCTACCACAAACTCATGGCAACACACTGAAGTATCGGGGGACCACACCTTCGACCTGTCTAGCTCCGATAACGACATCACACCACCATCCGTCCCCGCACTCATCAACGACGAACTCCCACCACACTACGATGACATTGTGGGTGGCACTGGTCTCAACGGCCTTGGAGATTATTTCTCCAATCTAGCACGTTATGGATGAGACGCGGCCCTTTGGTTTCAGTTTTGCCGCGCTTGCTCTTGAAAGATCTTCGATCTAGACTCAGGGATATTCAACGTGAAAGGGAAAGACAAGCTAGCAGGTTAAATAGATGCCTATAGTTGAATCAAAGTACAATACATTTCAGTTATTGCTGCCTCTTTGGCAGAGAAGGCTTGGGTGACAAATTAACAGCCCATGGACATACTTATCCAGCCTATCGAAACCCCCAATATCATACTCTGAGGCTCACCCGGCGTGCGTCCTTGTTTCCCTTGTCAAATTTATGGTCCGATTCGCCCAGTATTTTATGATAAGCTGAAATAAGGTGACTTGTCGCTATGAAAGCTCCGTTTAAGTGTTAGCCCTCGCCGGTCTGGCTGCGGTCTGGTTGGCTTCAATGGGCCTCGTGGGTATGCGCTCGTCAGTATCCTACCCCCTGAGTAAGTCTTTATACTGACGATCAACAAACATCGTGAAACGCAGAAGACAGCACATGCAAGCACAACTCGGTCAATGAGTGGAGGAAGTGTCACTTCTGGCAATAACATCTTAGACTAGCCAAGCTTGGAATCGGTCGCTTATGGCGACTTTACAAGAGGGTGGGTGCGGGTTAATATTGTCCCGCTATTTTGTCACTGGGATCGCAATCTTCCGGGCCATCCTATTGGAAGAACAGCCCTGACCCTCAACCACTTCACATGCATAAGTACGATCCTTACCCTCTATCAGCTTCGTATACTTATAAGAGTAGCTAATGGTAAGATAGAATAAAGATAATGGGGCGACTGGTAAGATTTTTAGTTGCTCTTCCAGCACGTGTGTTTACCCGCCACACTCCGATGACATTCTTTCCTCCAATAGAAACACTTCAAACGCGCTCAAACCACAGCTGTAAGCCACCATGATCCGATGTACTGTAAGTGGCGCTCTGCAGCGATCTAAAGGATTAGTCTAGGCAATTTACTAGAGCCAGCCGACTTCTCAGAGTCCAAATCATACTAATATATATGTGGAATGATAAATACACGTATTGAGGTTTTGAGTTGACCGTGTCACTAAATACTATAGGGTAAACTTGTTTTTATAACCATGTAGTCAGTTACTTACTCATTACGTGAATTTAACATTACTATTACTTCAATAGCAAAATAACCACTCAAGGTATTCTCATATCTATATCCATATATTCTTTATGTTGCCGTCACCATGTCACATTTAGAGGACCAAACGTTTTCGCTTCACCCCCTTGAATTGCCTGTTCCCGCCATTCGGGACTGGGTATATGGTTTAGTACAAAACTTTTGCGATGTTCCGATTGATTCCATAAGCCAATGCACTGGTTTAAGCAGGCTAGGCAAAATTCATATCGCGAGTCAGGGGCCTCAATCTAGGAGAAGTATTTATATTTTCTGTATAACCCTTGCTGCAGGGGTTTACTGTTTTTTGTAAGAGATTGAAGAACTTTTCACCAGTCGGCAAAATGTCGGTAGGTAGATGCCTTGATGACTTGTCCACGTCTGCGCCCTCCATGCCCCTCCTTCACTGTATGATAAGCTCGGCTCAAGCTACGTAAGACGAGCACAAAAGAACCATTCCACATCAAGCCCATTCATCCAGCCCTCTCGACAGAGAAGGATGTCGGAAGTTAATAGACCCCAATCCGGGGTCTACCAGTCATACTCTCCATTGCCAGAAGGGAAATGGACTCGCATTCTCATCCTAGACCCAGGAGCTAGAGACGATCCCATAGAATGTTCTCTCCACGGTGCCAGATTTGACACTGAAGGTGAGATCCTCTATGCGAAATCGAACTTTCTTTTTGATGAAACCCGTCCCGGCTGACCCTGACATATATTTAAGCCTACGATGCGATATCATACGTCTGGGGTAACGCTGCAGAACGCCGCTCTATTCAGTGTCAAGGTCATCAAGTCGACATCACCACTAACCTCTTCGAAGCTCTGCGCCAGATCAGACACCCCCGTGAGCCAAGACGCATATGGGCCGATGCCCTATGCATCAATCAGTCAGATCTGGTAGAGAAGAGCTTCCACGTCAACATGATGGGCGATATATACGCTCATGCCCAGCAAGTCGTGGTTTGTCTTGGCGACGACGGCCAGAACGGCGAAGTCGCAAGTGTCGCTTTCAGCGTCATACAAGATTACAATCGCATTGCCGCCAAGTTCCTATCCGATGACGTCCTCAACAGCAGAGAGTGGTGGAAACCAGACGATGGTTACGGTCCTGTCACTGCTACGCGGCTTCAGAACGTTCTACCATTATTCAAGCATCCCTGGTTTGAGCGGGTTTGGGTTCTTCAGGAGGTTGGGCTTGCGAAGAACGCGGTGCTTGCCTACGGCTCGTCAATGATGGACTTTGCTGAAGTCATGGACTTCGTGCAGGCATGGGCCCAGACCGGCAACTCTTTTCCAGGTGTCTATTTCAGGTCAGGCCATATCTCGAACCTCTTCACATACATTTGGTCCTCATACGTCAAGGATGTCGAAGATGCCTGGTTCAGATCTTCCCGCATACTCAAAGTCCTGTTCCAGCAGTCACTGAAACGTTCAAAACTTGAGTTTCTAGATGTGCTCTTCAGGGCGAGACACATTCAAAAGGCTACAGACCTCAGGGACTTCGTTTACGCATTCCTCGGGCACCCTCGTGCAAGGTCGGACGACGGCGAGCTCTTGGTCAAGGCAGACTACTCAAGAAATCTGTCGCAACTGCGGCTCCAGTTGTTTTCCGGGCTGACTCCCCATTCATTGCGATTTCTTGGCCTGGTATCTCACCGTCTCCCTGAGGAACTCGCGAGTGGGCCGTCGTGGTGCCCCCAATTAGACGTCAGTCGAGCTTGGGCTATCAATGGCAGATATGAGGCCTGCCCGGGGGAGGACCCGACCTCAGAAGGCTGGCTATCCCCCCGAGTTGATGGGTCGAGCCTTGAGCTCTGTCTGTATCTTATAGATACTATCGATTTCTGCGGAGAGGTCGCCGCAAGGGAGCGAAGTAACAGTAATCTGGCCACGACCAGTACTGAGGAGTCTGGCCACCGCATCGCAGAATCAATGCTCGTTCAACGCCCTAGTCTTGCAGAAACGTACTGGTCGGTCTTGGAGGAATCAGAGAAATGCCATGGTCTGACTTATGAAGACAAAGTGCTTGCTTTTGCGAGTACCCTTTTACACACGAAGGAGGATGAGGATGCTTTATCTATTGCTCACAGCTTTGCACACTTCTGCCAAGATTACTGTCCGTCCATACATTCCTATCTCCATGATCACAACTGGCTGGAGCGATGGGGCACGGGAGGATCGCCGAAGCATTATATACCGTTCCGACAGCGAGCGGCAAACAGTATACAAGGGGAGAGATTCTTCACCTCAGCCAAAGGCTATTGGTAAGTCATTCTTTCGCCAACACCATCGGGGGGCTATCAACTTTGAGCTCTCAAGCCTGCCATTCTTTACTGACGGTGAAGTATAATTGCAGTGGGATGGGATCGCCCTTGGTACAACCCGGCGATCTGATATGTATTGTTCCAACAGTCCAAACTCCGTTAGTTATTAGGCCAATAGGGAGCAAACAGATGGCATTCAAGGTAATAGGATCCTGCTATCTATATGGAATGATGTATGGGGAAGTACTGAAGACACCAGCAATGGGTCACAAAGCACAAAAGACTACAGTAGTGTTTCTTGTTTAGTTATATCCGCGGTATTTCGCTGAGATCGAGTCCAGCAGCAGCTCGAGTGGGAGTGTTGAGACAGTGCTGCGAAGGTGGTCCGATCTGCTGGTGGCTGGTATATGGAGACTACGTAAAGAGCTGTGCTCCTCTCAAACACATGTAACTGAGAACTAACAACACCACAATCGACCCGTTTTTGCTTCAACGCAAACAGCTCTGGTCCCTTCCAATTCCGCATCGCGGTGCCGGTACCTTCTGAAATGAATCCTGGGAACATCGACAATCATGTGCCAAACATGTATTCTAAGATTTCATAGTAACTGCTGCCTTGTATTGCTTGTATCTAGGGACTATCTTACCAGCCCGTATGAGGCTCATCAGCAACAAAGGTGCCAGTGAGTTTCTTGGGGTCACCCTCCGTGGCGGCTCGTACGATGGCCGCGGCACCCTCCCTCGGGTCCTTCGCGCCGTACTCACCGGTGAACCTTGTGCGGCACATGCCAGGGGCAGCCGCAACGACAGCGATGTCGTGTTTGGCGAAATTCACAGACTGGGCCACAGTTATCATGTTGACTGCGGCCTTGCTGCTTCGGTAGTCAGGTACGTAGTATGCTTGAGCATTATATTCAAAACCTTCCTCGTTTGCCATCGTGATCAGTCTGACGCCAGATGAGACGTTCACAATTCTGCGATCTGTGTAAGACGAAGCCTGTATAAGGGGCAGAAACGCATCCGTCACGGCTGCGACGCCGAAGACATTGACCTCGAAAATCTCTCGATACTGATCGCGAACGGTGGCGGCAGAAGATTCGCCCCGCCCCGCATTGTTTATCAGAATGTCCAGATGGCCGAATTGAGTTGACACAGCCATAACAGCAGCCGTGACGGAGCTGTCATCGATGACATCGAGAACAATCTGCGTCAGGTTTATTTTGTCAATTCCCTCGGCCTGTAGCTCACGAATGGCGGCTTCGGCTTTTTGTGACTGACCGTGCGCCGACGAGCACGTGGTATTTGCCTGAGGCGGCGAGTTGTAGGGCGATAAAGTAGCCAATACCTTGATTTGCGCCCGTAATGAGGACTACAGCTTTTGAAGAAGCCATTTCTCCGGTAATTAACTGTTATGGATGTGGAGTATTGAGAAGATGTCTTCAGGGTAAGCCAAGGAGGAGAAGGCACAGAAATGTGTGCAAGATATTGTCGTCGGACTTCCTTAAATACAAGTCCAGCTTAGGTAATTAACCGATCCAAAGCAGGCAGAGCACGAGTCATTGACAGGCATTTAACAATGGGGCGTGGAGTGGCGTTCCTCATTAAGTCGCCGGAGTGGACGGATGAGGCACCTGCATAACAGGGACTAGGAGAAGTCAATATATCGAAAGAAATACTGGCGTTGGGTGGGGCTGTCGAATGGAAGTACGAGAAGGCTTTTCTGAGGTATGCTGGAGGGAGATACAGTGCCTCATTGCTAGCCTTGAGGCAAAGATGCCCTCAAGCCTCTCATGCAATACCTCTACGTAGGACAGGCTGGGGATAGTTGGTGTCAACAATTGCAACCGCACGAATATAGAGCGAGGAATGTTTTTCTCAGCCAGCGTCCTCATGCCCAAGACAACAATGATGACACCTCCAAGTAGTGGAGCATATGGACCGTTGGACAACTCGTTAGCCGCCTTTGGAAGGGAAGGGTGGCGGGGAGACAGGGTCGATGAGGGTTTTCAGACTCGGAGGGGCTCCCCGACGTTGGCTCCGTTGAGACTTTGCCCACTGGACTCGTGTCTCAGAGACTTACAGCAGGTATCTGTGCCCTCAATGTGTATTTACAGGTTCCCCGTTTGTACGATTTTAGCCTCAAACTATGAAATCCGGACGTTGTGGAAGCGTGTAGGCATTGGTGCAAGTGATATACCTTATACACATAAATCTCTTTTTAACCACAGCCGACGACCGAGCGCAGGGTTCGGCGGGCCGACTTGTTCACTGCGAGGATTGGACTTCTGCTATGTCGGGAGCTGGGAGCCACGTTTTCAAATCCCTTGTTCACTGCTGTTGGTCTCGACCGCTATGCTTCGGGTGCGCATGAATCAGAAGTTAATCCGGCAAACCAAAGCTAATACCCTGTCTTTCGTATCTAAACAAGGGGTGCGGCTGGGGGCTATAGGTATTTGGTCCGACTCTAGGTAAGTGCCTATTTCCTGCACGTTTGCCTCTTGCATTCTAGAGAGCCAATGGGGCACGCCAAACGAGCAGGATGGACTTTGTCCTAAATCCGAGCATCTAACAAGTGGTACAATGAAAACAAACTTTCCAGGGTCTCTTCTTGGAGGGTCCTGAAACTTTCCGAAAATAAACACTGCCGTGTCAGTTGGAATAACTCACATCGTCACCTGTCATGTTATTTCAAGCCTCACTGGCGACTGGGAGAATTCCTGCGATCGGATCCTGCTAATGCGGAAGCCCACAATTATTGCGCACCACTTTGGACGGGTTCGACCTTGAGTCCACGGCGACTTTGGGCTTCGGTTCTCCGGGAAGTTAAACAAACTCACTCATATTGTCTGTGCGTATCTGCATGTATCAGCGAGGCAAGAAATTCGGCTCCAAAAATGCCCGTGGTGACTCAAATGTGGAGACTAGCAATATCATGTTGATGCATTGCTAGCATAGCGGCGAGGGCATGAGCCAGGGGCTGCTGCGGGGTACTCGACAGTCAAGGCTTTAAAGAAATATGGAATGTCCTGCAGAGGTTGAAGTCCTCTGGAACCAGCTAATTTGAAAAACTCTCGCCGTTAACCACGGAAAAATCCGCTTTAGGCTGTTACCGCCCTGATTGTAACGGGCAACACCCTGGTTCAACCTGGATTATGATAACGACAGTCCATTCGTTGCCTGTTGCTACAAACAGAATCTTCTACGTCTCGTTCATAATACCCATAGCATTAGCAGTAGCCTCATCCAAGTCATCCTCCGGCAGGCCCAGCAACTGGTTGTCTGACTCAAAGTCAGCGTCGCCAGTGGCATAGAACACTCTGGAGAACATTATTTTATAAAAGCCCATCCCATTGCTTTCAGCCAGTTCCTTCCCACCCTCCTCATACCGAACCTTGGCTGGTTGGTACTTGATGTCCCAGTCAACGTCATCAGTCCCAGTTACTCTCTCCACGCTGTTTAGTATGTCCCGTTGGCTGACATTGAAGCTGGAGACGAAGGCAGGTCGGTCGTGGAAGCGAGAAAGAGCCACAGACTTGTCGCTCTCATCGTCTGGGAATTTCATGCTCAGTAAGGCAGCCACAGCGCGGCCACATTGAGCCCATGTTGATGTGGGAATAGCCTTTTTACCATCATCAAACATGGTGACCTTGCGATTCTTGAGGTCGACTCCGAACATATTCTCCGTAGTCGCTAGACTATACTCATACCAGAACCCGACAATCAGGGCGATACATTTTAGACCGAGCTGTTTCACTTCGGCTAATATAATTTCTTTAGGTATTAGGTTTTTATACCTCTTGCATTCTACTAACTCTTTAGTTCTAAAATACTATATATTAAGGCTAGTCTTACCTTATACTATAAGCTATTATGCCTCTATCTCTTATCTAATTAGACTTTATTGTCCTGGCTGGTCTTTTTGCACCTGCAGCTATCCCTCCTATAAGCTCTGATTTCAATGATATTATAAAAGTAGCTATAGCCAATATACCTAAGTGGCACGAGGTCGGCGTTAATAAGTACAGAGAAATATAGGAAAATAGCAAATTCCCTATATAGCTGGTCTGTCTTAATTATGCCACTAACATCTCTATCCCTTCCTGTAAACCAGGGCGAGATATTATTTGCTGATTATTAAAACCATAAAGCAAAACATAGACAAAGGATATCTTTATGTATATCTATAGGGGAGGCTAGTTAATAGGAAATGCTAGGGACTAGGACTTATGGCTACAGAGTATTGCCGATATAGTTAGACTAGTTATAGTTAGCGTAGGCTACTGGCTTGCCCTTAAATACCTAGGCCCTGCAGGGGATAAGGATTGCTTTAATGCTATAGAATAGCTTATCTTAAATGTATAGGAGCGATTTAGTGCTAAACTGGCCTTTATTAGTAGTAAGAGCACTAGAGGGCACCTAAGTATAGTTACTGCTTTTTATCTTCTCTTGTATAATAAGGCAGAGATTCGAGAGTTTAAATTAAAAGGAGGTCTAATCCTACTGTTTAGATGCTATAATCTTGGCTTTATACCCTTATAGATCTACTATTGTTTTGTATTAAAGAATGGAGATAATAGGGTAAGAGAGCTTAAGCTTATTAACCTCTATTAACCTAATATGGCTAGAGATACTTAGAAGAATCTTTAAATATTGCTATTATATGCAGACCTAGAAGAATATAAAAACGCAGATAGTATAAGCAGCTAATTACCACCAGCACTATTTATTATCAGGACAAAGGACTTTCTGCTTAATAATACCATCTTTATATCTGTGAAATAGCAGATAGTAGGCGCCCTAGCTATTATCAAGATCTTCCCTGGCATAATATATAAATTTATCGCATTCCCTCCAGACAAAGTACTAAGTATGAAATTAGGAATAAAAAGTCTATTTACTTTTATCTAGTCTAGACTCGGTTAGAAACAATGCAAGAGTTTTAATTTATTTGTTTTTTATTCTTATGTAAACTTAATATATGCCAAATTCTCTCTTATTTATATAGCTTGGCTTAAGGCTTTTAGCATTTAAGGCTCGTCAATAGTGCCTTCGAGCAACCTAACTATTAGAATACTATATATACTCTCTATACCAGTATAATACCGCTACCACACTTCTAATCACTCTTCTAGTCCAACCAACTTACTGCTTAACTCCTATAACTTATCATCCTCTTCCTTATTCCAGGCCTATTATATATAACCCTCGCCACCCCACCCTAGATTCTCCTCTACCTCCCCTTTAAGCTTACAATCCTTAGATAAAGCGGCCCCTTGCCCTCAAAGTCGCTTAACAGCACTGCCAACACAGTAGTAGTAGTAAGACTATACTATATATAAATAAAGTAATAAGCAGAGGCAACTCAAGAGGAGAACTAATAGCTTAACTAAGAATATATCAATTCCTAGCAGCACTAGGGGTAACCATAATACGGCATAAAGCTATAGATAGCAATAAATATAAATCAAGGAATAGCCTAACTAGGTAAACTACCCTTTAAATAAACTAAGAAATATCTAATCTAAAGTACAAGGTTAAATAGAAAGGATCTTATAGTCTAGGCTTAAGTTAAGGGCATATATATCCTGACTCTGCCCCTTTTCCACCTTCCCTTTACTATACCATAGTACTATATATTATCCAAAGCCACCTTTAAACTTCTTTCTAAAAAAGAGTAGTTAAACTTAATTGTAAATAGATAATATACCTACACTGGCAATGCCACGGAGGATATTAGCACCAGCTCCCTTAAAGAAGAAATAATATCCCTCTGTGGTAGTAATTTGGCAGGCAGCGCCAAATAAGAAGCTATATTTAATAGCCTTAATGAAATCATTAGTAATAAAATTACTAGAAGTTAGTTCTATATTTATTTCTACTTACCTCTCCTAAAGTTATTATTATTTAGCAATAAATAGTATTAATAAGATATAATATAATACTAGCACTAATAGTTATGCCCTAGCTAAGTAAGAAGGACGCTAAAAAACTGTTTTTAAAAGCACCTATAAGCAAAATAGGCTTAAGGGAATTATATATACTAAAGTAAATGCCCTAATAAGCCATAATACTAAGAACTAATAGACTAAAGCTATAATAGTTAAAGTCCAACTATGTTAAACTAAGCCGTGCTAGGTTTATTATTAGCAGATTACATAGGGCGTGATACTAAGCTTATCAGAGTATTACATCTCTTAATAATAGATTTAATATATATTAGGCTTAATTAATATAAAGAAGTTTTATTAATAGCTAGTAAGCTAACTTTATAAAAGTAAAATAAGTATAAACTATATACTACTATTTATAAAGTACTTATTAATACTTCTATTAAGGACTAAGATATTAATCTATTAGTCCTAGACTATTACTATAAAGCTTTAGTCCTATCCTAACTAGTTAAATCTAATAGACTAAGAAGGATTTACTTGGTCTACTTGTAATTAGTAGAGTTTATAGGGAATTTTATAGGGCATATATAACATAACCGCAAAGGTTATAACATAATCTCTCCCCTCCCTTAGGTCTTACCTCTAAGACCATACTTACTTACTATTTCTATTAATTCATACCCATAAATACCAACTTAGACTTATTTTAATCTCGCATATCTTACTAATTATTATATTAGATTAAGTTTCTAAGAAGAAATATATAAAAACTTCTAAGTCTAGTGCTCTTACGTAATATATTCACGAATTTAATAATTTTATTATATTATATTCCTATTATTTCCGCCATAGTCTTATATATAAGGCCATTAATAAATAATCTTATTATTACAGCAATTATATAAATATAAAAGTAATTTATAATAATTCAGGTATTACTATTTTTTATAAGTTTTTATTTTTTATATTATTTTAGTTTCTATGCTAATCTTATAGTTTCGAAAAATATAAGGAAGTATAAAAAGTTAAAAGAAGATAAATAAAAAGCCAAAGAGGCCCTTAAAGAGGCTATAGTATATCTAGCTCGCATTCATAAGATAAAATATTATCTTAAAGAGCAGGGTAACAAGCTATTTTCTTATAGAATACAGTCTTTAGAGGAATAAAGTAGTTTTTCTATTAATTAGGCTAAGTCTTTAATTATTTCTAAGGCTTAGTCTTATAGTACTATAGATTTAATTAACTAGAATTCTATTTTAGTAGATATTCCTTTTATTAATCCTATTATTTCTAATAAAACTTCTTTAGGAGTTATTAGGTATTAGTAAGGTATTTTAGGGGTTCTTATATATTTTCACTTTCTAGGTAGTTTTTCTATTTAATCAGGTATATTCTTTATCCTTTAATTATATCTATTTTCCTAATTACTTCTGCTTTATAGACTTCTAGTCCTGTGATTTCTTATAACTTATTACCTATTTTAACTTATATTATATTTATTACTAATTTAAGTAGTAAAACGTAAAAGACTAAATAAAGCCTAACTTTTAGTAATAGGTCTAGTTTATAGTTATTTTCTAAGATTTTTTATAATACTTTATAAGGTCTAATGAATTTATAGTCTAATTTGTGTATTAGTTGATCTGTTTTAATATTTTTTATAGCTAGGTAGACCATATCTCCCTCCGAAAAGGTTAATCCCTTTAACTGTTTTAGGTTATAGTAGTTTTTTATGCATTTTCTGACGAATTCGAGTTCTATTTTTATTTCTTTATATAGGTTTTTTAGGTCATTACTTTTAAGTATAGCAGCTAGGTTAATTAATTTCTCTTATTATACATTATGGTATATATTTGGTATAAATCCGAAGTTAGTATAAGCTAATATAAGCTTTATACTTTTATTATAAGCAGTATTATAAGCAAGTTAGGCTATTAGTAGTTTCTTAACCTAATTATTCTATTTATAGTTAATATAATACTATAAGTATTATTTAAGTACTTAATTCATTTATTTGGTTTATCTATTAACTTGCAGTTAAAATGCTATTATAAGTGTTATGACCCTCGCGGTTACGTCACATATACCCTATAAATTTCCCCACAAATCTCACTAATTATAACTAGACCAAACAGATCCTTCTCAGTCTATTCACTTCGACTAATTATAACAGGACTAAAGTATTACAATAATAGTCTAGGACCAAAAGGATAATATCTTAGTCCTTAACAGAAGTACTACTAAGTACCCTTATAATTAAGTATATATATATTTATTTAGCATTAGATAGAACTTAGCTTACTAGCTATTAATAAAACTTCTTTATATTAATTAAGCCTAATATATATTAAATCTACTATTAAGAGATATAATACTCTAATAAGCTTAGCATTATATCTTATACAATCTGCTAATAATAAACCTAGCATAGCTTAGTTTAATATAATTAGACCTTAACTATTATATATTAATAGCTCTTATTTAGACTATACCATATAATACTAAGTAATATAAATATAATAGCTATTTATATTAACCCTATATAGTAATATACTACACCTTATACTACTCTAGCACCTGTTAATAATAATTAGGATATAAATAATAATTCTAAGAGTAGTACTAACTCTAATATTGCCTAGCTCTGTTAGTAGATAACTAATATAATAACCGAAATAGATAACCTTAGATAAGCCTTAGCTAAAGCCGCTGCGCTCTAGGCATAGCAGGCCGCTAACTACTAAAATGTAATTTAGGAAATATATTAACTTACTATTACTATAAT